TTGAGAACATTTCAGTTTATGTGTGTTTCCTTGTTTGTCCGCAAAATAATAAGTTTATTTTATTGTAAATTTTAAAGGTTTTGTTTTACGGACGTACAAGGAAACTTATATAAACTTGAATGTTGTCAAACATCTTAGTGCGGAAAAATAAATAAAGAATATTCGCGAACACAAAAAACCCGCCAAATTTACGAACAACTAATTCTATTGGTTCAATTAATAAATAACTGAAATTACTAAGCGACTGTTCTAGAGTATTTTGTTAAATTATTTTTCAAAATCTCTTTTTTTTGTTTTTGTTTTTGTTTTTGTTATGTTTTCGTTGAGAATTCTAGCATCAATTGTTTTAAGAATATACTATCAAACGAACAATTATTTTAATACAATGGCTCATTCTCGGAGTCACATCCATAAAGCTATAAATGTTTTAAACTGACATTTGTTTACAAAAATAAATGTTTTAAATTTATATTTTTTAACTTGTCAACGTTTTGTAAATATATTATAGATTTAATTAGTATAATCTTATTTTTTATATATAAGGGATGTATTTATATGTATGTAATGTATTAGAAATTGGTTTATTAACTTCAATTATTTTTGCTTCAGCCATTCTTACAAACTCGTTATACTTACACTTAAAGTTTTTTTTTCTGTAAAATACTAGTTAAAGATATAAAGCCCACTCACTAAACATCATCAGCGATATTGTTAAGCAGTTCCGCTTCCTCCTTACAAAGTAATTTAACGTTTTTAGTTAATTTCTATCTAGCTAATTAAATTTCCACAGTAACTCAATGATTTAGTTATTTCATTTGTTCATCTTACTAAGAAGGATTGTTTCAAATATGTTAAACTTTTCAAACTACGCGAAGCATAAAACAGGTACTAAAAAATTTTTTTTTATTTATAATTAAATTATGTAGCGTTATTTTATTGGTTTAATCTTGTTGGACTTTACAGGGCCGGGGGCTGCATTATTTTTTTGGCCTTTTTTATGTGCGACAGCGTAAAAATGACTTAAAAATACCGATAAGTCCTCTTGACTGTTTCTCGGCCCATTACATTGTGTGTCCCGGGACTATAGCTCTTCTAACCCCCCCTCCCCCCACCTCTTATTTCCAGCACTGAAAATAATACATAAGTATATAAATAAAAATTATATATAATCTTTGATAAATTGAAGAACATTTGTTTCTTTATTAAACAATCATTATTAGTACGTTGTTACTATATACAAAAAATGTCGCTTTTTTTTTTAAAAAAAAAGTTATAAAAGAGCGATGTTTCAAAAATATTTGCTCATTGTATTTATTTTGCTTAAAGTTTTGCGTTAAAAGCTATTTTTCTTTTTTTTAACTGTCTCTCATCGGTCCAATTTATCTTATTGCGCTTTTTTGCTTGTTTTTAAAATGTTCTCAAAACGCCTAAAAATTCTGGCTGGCTTTTCGCAACTAAATATAATTTCCGTGGTCAAATATCGAGTGCGATCGCACCCGATTCCCGACCAAGCCTGATTTATAAATAAAGCTTTTTACAAAAAATGTCTTTAATAAATGCAATTTGAATTTCAACTTAGTAAAGTTTTTATACTTAAAAAAATGTTGGTCTTTTATAAAAAAATTAGCTTCAATAAATAAATTTATTATTTCTAATTATTGCTTCATTAGACCTCCAAAAAGCCTAATGGAAAAATTTTTAACAAAATGAAAAATTTTTTTTTTTTTTTTTGGGGAGGGTATGGGTAGTCTAATTGCCCCCCTCCTCCTTACTCCCATACTTTGAGCCTACCCCATGCAGAAAAAAAAAGAAATTAAGTATAAATTTATAAAAAAAGATTTTAACAATAATTTTTTACAACATAAAATTAAGAAATAGCTAATTTTGTTATGAATGCAGTAAATTTTATGCAGATTATTGTTTTTATTATTGGCTGAGTTGGCAATAAATTTTATGCCGACTCTTTGGCAATAAATTTTATGCCAATTAAGCTTTACTTAAAAGGCTGTATCTAGAAAAGTTGAAAAATGCAATAACATAACTTTTATTAATAGTGATGTTTAATACCTGTATTGTAAAGGTTGATAGCAAAAATACCCTAAAATATATGCTTTTATTATTTAATTCACATGTAATTAAGGTGGTCTGAAAAATTTTTTAAAGGGGATAATACCTAATAAAAGGTGTCTTCCTTATTTCCTAATTTTAACAGTCAATAAAAAGTCTTGAAAAAATGAAACAAAATTTTATAATCGACATTAAGTACAACCGATATTGATATTTCAAAGCCACATAAAGAGTACAAAAGTTTTTTTTTTGTTTGGTTTTTGAATTTTTTATGTAAATAAAAACAAATTTGTATCATTCAATCGATTAGCTTCAATTACAATTTTGTTTTTGCATTTAAAGTTTCATTAAAATGCTTGTTTTTATTTTAGTTATTGAATTTAGAATTGTATTTAGAAATGTTTTTTTTGTATTTAGAACTTTTTAAAAACGTAAAGTAAAGGGAGTCTTCAAAATATTTTTTTCAGAAAAGTTTTTAAATTTTATTTAATATACTCAAACTTTTTTATTTTCGTTAACATAATCATGTTTTCACTTGTATATGTTGATGTTTTAATTTTTATTATTGAATAAGTTCTATTATGAATTTATGTAAATTTTAACCAAATTCATTGTGTTTTAACAAGTATAAAATAAACCTATTAAGACATAAAGCATCAATGGCAGTAACATATAGCTCTTGTAAAAAGCTGCCTAGACAAATGACTTGCTTGGCTTGCCATGACCGTTTTATGAGAATTTTTCTCAGCTTCGTGCACTATATATTTTAAAGTTCTCTCTATCTCTCTCTCTCTCTCTCTCTCTCTCTCTCTCTCTATATATATATATATATATATATATATATATATATATATATATATATATATATATATATATATATATATATATATATATATATATATATATAAATATATATAATAGATAGAGAGAGAAGATAAGGAGATAACTTTAATTTATTTAGTGATTTCTTATTGTTCTTTTTATCGGTAATCAATTATGATTAAGCCGGCCACAATGGCTCAGAAATAAAACCTTAGTTGCCCAATTAAACAAAATTAGCGAAATAAAAAAGTTAAAATTTTGACATAGCATTCTGTCTAAATATGGACCTCAAATGACACAGCATGTGGAAAAATGTCAAATGTGTCCTGTTATAGTAAAATTTCTAGATGTAAAAAATGCAGGTAAAAAAGATAAGTTATAAATTATCAGATAAAGGTAGTCTGGGCCTAAGAGACTCAGAAGCAGAAAGCTCCAACTAATGCAGTAACACTAACGCATACTACTGCATGAATAATTTTTTAAATTCATGTTTTTATATTATTTACAGTAGTTTGATTTAATTACAGTATCTTGGTTTTACAGCTTCTTATGCATTTATAATTATTTTTTAAATTATGTTTTTCTATTTTAAATTTGACTTAGTTGACAAATTATACAGACTATAATACTATTTTTATAGTTTTTATAGTTCTGTCATTGTTAGGCATTAGGCTCAGAATATTTTAAACAAGGGAATTGTGAAATAGCTGTAAGCTCTCAAATTTGCTTATTATCTTGATATAAAGTAGTTTTAAAATTTCCTTTCATTTAATATAAAGCAATTTTATTAAAATGTTATATTTTAAATATAAATACTTTTATCATGTTCTAATTAAAAATATACTTTTTAAGACTCTTATTGCTAATAAAGTAAGGTTGACTGTTGTTGTTGTTGGTGAGGGAGGTTCAAATACTGTAGAAGTTGTTAACTATGAAAAATTTTAAATTGAAAAACTTCCTTGTTAGACTAAGTAATAAACTTTTTTTTTTTGATAAATATATTTTTTCTATATAATTTACATTAAAAAAAAAATATTTAGATTAACATTACTATTATTTTCATTTTTCAAAACTTTTTTTCCCCATAAATACCATAAATAAATAAAAAAAGATTTAATTACAGGCATATATAAAAAATTAAGAAACATAAATAGATTTTTTCTTTTTATTTTTTTTCACTTTCTTGTTTTGAATACCCATAGCAATAATTTTTGCACTTTCTTGTTTTGAATACCCATAGCAATAATTTTTAGCTACATTAGCAACATTATATTGAAAAAACAACACTCTTTCATAAATTTGTACACATAAAAATTATTTTATTTTTTGGGTAGTTTTAAAAAAAGTGATATTTAAAATTTTGCTTTTTTTTTTCATAAATTGTTAATTAGATTTAAGTTTTGTGCAAATTAATATATATAATTTTATAATTTGAACTTTGGTAATCTATTTTTCCTTAATTTCACAGAGATAGAAGTTCAAGTTTAACTTGATTACAATAACAAAATATAAATTTTTTTACTAAATTTTATTTGGTTGTATTTTTATATATCCCAAAATAAAAATAAACTAGTTGCAAATAATGTTAGTTTTATTAAAATTTAATATGAAAAAATTAATCATTTTTATAGTATTGTATATAACAGTATTTTTATATTGTTGTTTTATTAAAACCATTAATTATATTATAACATTGTTATATTATTATTTATTTATTTAAAAATACCTAAATAATTAAATAAATATAATATATAAGTTAATTTAAAAAAATCTAAGAATGAAGTTAAGATATTTTTTTATAATGCTAGTCTGTTTTTCTGCCTTTTCATCGCTAAAAAAACAAATACTATCGCTTGAATGTAGAAGGAACAAAATTAAAGTTCAGTGTAAGTATCAAAAATTATTATCAAAACATAATAATTTAAGTTTCTCAAAAAAAATGGGTGTTAGGCTATCTAAGCAGGTAGCCCGCATAGCTTGATAAGTTTATTTGTGACAAGTTATTCATAGCTCATGCACTTATTTGCTCCTGCTGAAGCCTGTAGTTATGCAAGTTGTTAAGTATGGTTTTTAAGGCAAAAAATAGTTTTAAAATATTAATTTACTTGTAGAAATAACAGTTTTGGGTGAATGGTGGGCTGAGATGGATTTAAAAGTTTATGTGGAAAGTACAGAGGACTTTAAACATGTGGGTAAAGAAAGTTCTGTAATTATATGCAATCACTACAGTGATATTGATTGGTTGGCTTCATGGATATTTTCTGATCGCAATGGTTTTTGTGGTGTAAGAATTTAGTTTTTTTTTTTACATTTCCAGTGGATTAAACAAATAATGTAGTTTATAGATTTCATTGACAAAACCCGATACCATTTATTATAATTTTTTTAACCCTAAATGAAATATTATATATTTTATTAAGTTTAATACCCATGGTTCATGTTTAAAGTTTTATTTAGTCATGGTTCACTTATATTCAGTTGTGGTCAGGAAAGATGCACAATTGCATTTTATTCCTGACCATGCACATGATATTCTGTTTTGACAACTTGACCACTTTTTAGATGTTTGAGAACATTTCAAAAATACAGTGAAAAAAACAAACAAAAAACAAGTAAACAAAATAATCATTTAACAAGAAAGTTCACAAATAAATTACTTACACAATGCTTAAATTAATAAGGACATAATAAAAATGCCTTTCAAGATTGAGCAAAATTCCAGAACACTTTATGAATGTTTTAAATCATGTGTTGTTTAAATTTTATACAGTTTTAATTCAAATAATTTTAAATAAAAATTGAGTTCTAAATTTTTTACTGTTTAGAGAGCTAAGGTAATTTCCAAAAATTCCATAAAATATGTTCCTGTTATTGGTTGGTCCTGGTGGTTTGCTGAATTTGGCTTTCTAAACAGAAATTGGCAGCAAGACAAAGAAAATATCAGCAGAATTATTAAAAGCATGCGAAATAATACAAATTATTTTTGGGTGAGAATATTTAATTTTTTTAAAATACATTTTTCAAGCTTTTTTTTTAGAAATCTGAGAAAGTCCTCATCAAGCATTTCAGTATATAAAATATATTTTAAATTATTATTTCCCTAGAGAGAATAGCATATATATATATATATATATATATATATATATATATATATATATATATATATATATATATATATATATATATATATATATATATATATATATATATATATATATATATATATGTATATATATACATATATACATATATATATATATATATATATATATATATATATATATATATATATATATATATATATATATATGCTATTCTCTCTAGGGATAGCATATATATATATATATATATATATATGTATGTATATATATATATATATATATGTATGTATATATATATATATATATATATATATATATATATATATATATATATATATATATATATATATATATATATATATATATATATATATATATATAAATTAGTAGAAAATCACTTAACAAAATTTTTTTCATTTTACACTGTGTTTCATCAACAAAGGCTCATCAGAAATAAATGATTAAATTAATAAAACTTTAATTTATACCAAAATATTAAATTACAGGAAGTCGCAGATGTTTTAACTACTAAATAAACACAGATGATGTATTTAATAATAACCAAGATAATGATAATTATGGATTTAAAACAAAAAAATACCCCACCTTTTTTACCTGATTTAGAAAATTTTGAAAATCACCTATTGCATTTAATTAAAACAATAAAGTTTTGCCCTATAAAAAATAAATTTCAAACAGAATTAAAGTTAGATGTTAAAAAAATTAAATCAAACCCAAATGCTTTGGTTTTTGCTGATAAAACAAATAACATTTACCAACTCACAACAGAAAACTATGAAAAAATTTTACGCGACAATATTAGTAGTTCTTATGAGAAAGCCCCTAAAAATTTGGAAAACGCGATTAATTTAGAAGCCCAAAGTATTGCTAAAAAAATAAACCTTGATAACAGAATCAAATATACTGCCCCTGCACAAGGCTCTGTAACACTTACATGTCCAATCTCACAGAGATTGGACATGTAAGTGTTAGCAAAATTAAATTGGACAAAATTAATAATATTCTTAGAAATAAATTAAATTTGCAACAGTGGAAAAATACCACTGATGTTATAAATTAGTTCTCCATAATCGAAAATAAAGATGATTTACATTTATTCAATTTGACATTAATGATTTTTACCCTTTAATAACTGCATATATTTTAAATAAAACAATTGAATTTGCAAAAAGCCACACATTTATTCCTAAAGAAACAATCCATATAATAAAATGTTGTAGAAAAACCTTACTTTACTTTAATAATGAAAACTTGGAAAAAGAAAAGCATACTCGACTGCTTCGATGTAACAATGAGCTGTTATGATGGAGCAGAAATTTGCGAGTTTATTGGACTATACAATTTAGATTTATTAAGTAAAATAATCAATATAAATGATTTAGGCCTTTATCGCGACGATGGTTCAATAGTAATGCGTAAAAAATCTGGTCCACAGCTCGATAAGATTCGAAAAGATATTATAAAAATTTTTTAAAATTTTTTAATCGAAATACAATTAAAGTTAGCTACAGTTGCACAAAAAATATGGAAACAATTATAAAAAGTCACAATAATGCTTTGTTAAATAAAAAAGAAATCCTAAATGAAAAAACTACAGAAAGTTGTAATTGTAAACAAAATAACAATTGTCCAATGAGTGGAAGTTGTTTATCAAAAAATGTGGTATATAAATGCGTTGTTTCTTCTAAATTCCACAAATGTGTGAAAATTTACAGTAGTTAAAACATTAGCGACTTCCTGTAATTCAATTTTTTGATATAAATTGAAGTTTTATTAATTTGATCATTCATTTCTGATGAGTCTTTGTTAATGAAACACAGTGTAAAATGAAAAAAATTTTTGTTAAGTGATTTTCTACTAATTTATAATTGCTCTGTTCTTTTAAGAACATTGAGCACTGTATTTTGTAGAATACATTTTTTAAAATTGTTTAAATATATATATATATCAGGCTTTGCAATGAATAAGAACTGCGCGACGCATAAGCACGACGTGATTTTTGACGTCATTAAATTCTTTTTATTTGCTTTTCATATTTATCGACATTAACTGCATCAATTTACTTAATTACCACAAAACTACTTTAAATCGTTTATGTAGAAATGTTATTATTTAAAAATGTTTTGAAATGTTTCGTTTTTTAAAATGTAAAAACATTTGTTTATTTTCTCGACGTTTGTCACGTTTTGTCTATACTAAACGAATAAAAAACATTTTAACTTAAATTTAAAATAGATTATAAAATATGCTAATATTTGATTTTTTTTTTCTTAAATATGTAATTTAAAGTTTTTCAAATAATTATTTTTTCTTTTTAAAAAGTCAGCGAGTAATAAACTGGAAATTTTAATATTGTACGAATAAAAACTGTGCAATAGCTAATATTTTTACAAGCGATTTTATATTATATTTATTTATTTATTTTTATTTATTTTCATAAAGCGGTTGATAAGCACAATCACTCGTATTAATAAAAAACTTAAACGAACGTTTTGAATAGATTTTTAATGTTAACAAGAAATTTTATTTCTAGTAAAATAAAATAAAATGTTAGAATAAAAATCTTATAGGTATAAAAGAAATATTTCAGCGAAAAAATTATTCTTAAAATTATTTTTAAAAATTATTCGGAAAACTATTGACGTTCTATTTTTCTGTAGCTGTTCTTGAGCACGCTTTCATGAGTTTCGGTAACTTTTAGCATAAAAGCGATCGTTATTATTTAAGTAATTTTTTTGAGTTACTTTTTACAAAAATTTTAATAACTGTACTTTTTTTATTGAGTCAAGTAGAATACGTTTTAATATTAATCCTTTTTTTTTTATTTTATTTGCGCTCACCAATTTTTAAAATGTTTCCTCGAAATTACTCTTACATACTTTAAATACGTCTAACAGTTAATAAATATTTTTAGACCTATGGAATAATTTAAAAACCTAACAAACCCCCGTAAAATAATTATTTAAGTTTAAAATCTAAAACTAAAAGAAAGTATTTTTGTTCAATTTTGCTATTGCTGAATAATTTTATTAAAATGTTAGCTTAAAAGATTTAAACTTTTTTTTTAATCTGAACTTTTTCTACTTGTAAATATTCAATTTTTTTTAGTTCAAACTTTTATTTCAACTGCGTGCGGTTTTTAAAATACTTTATTAAACGTTAAAATAATTGTAAATTACTTCATTAAAATTCCGCTCAAAAATATCTTTAAATATACTCAAACAAAAATTTTTTTGCTCGACGCAAATAGCCCTAGCTACATGCAAAATCGCTCTTGGACGACATAAAATTCACACCGCCCGACGCTTTATCGCAAGGCCTGATATATATATATATATATATATATATATATATATATATATATATATATATATATATATATATATATATATATGTATATATATATATATATATATATATATATATATATATATATATATATATATATATATATATATATATATATATATATATATATATATATATATATATATATATATATATATATATATATATATATATATATATATATATATATATATATATATATATATATATATATATATATATATATATATATATATATATATATATATATATATACACACACGCTGATGGCGTCGTGCTAAAATGGCATAAATTGGTGTATATATATAAAAAAGTATAGAAATCATTAACAGACACTTTAAACAGTTTAAGTATATTACTTCAATTACAATAAATTGATTGCAGTTGCTCTATAACTTTAAACATAACACAAACCTTGACAAACTGCACCATAGGATGCAGTGGCCTTGTATACCACAAGTAGGGTGGGGTACTACTAGGGACATGGTGGGAATTGAATTTGGAACTTCTTGCTTATGAGGCGAGTACTCTACCATTACACCACTACCGCATGAGGCTTTTCAAATTTCCTGGAAAGAAGTTTATTAAAATATAATTTAAAAATTTTAACATAAGTTTTCACATCTGAAAGGTATAAAAAACATGTGACTTTTTTGTTATGCAGGGGAGTTATTGCTTAGAATACATATCAAAGCAGGAGTAATGTTGCCAAAAGCACTTTGGAGACTCGGCAGCAAATAGATCCATGGCTTCAGATTTACTTCTTTCATTCAAACTAAAAGAGTGAGTACCTTGATATTCATTTGTTATTGATAATAATCATAGACAGCTTTATATAGTCTTTCATGAGCTGTCTATCTTGTTACACCTGTATTGACTAGTGTTATGGCATCTTCACAGATATTTGCAATTTTTTTGGAGAAAATTGAGAGCTAGCAACTTTTAATGAAAAAACTTCCAAATAGCCAATAATGTTGCATCAGCATCACTTATTGCAGAAAATGCTTTAAGTAAATGTTGAAAGCAAATAGCAAGCTTATGATTCCCACATCAAACTAATATGGGAATACATGTTTCAAAAAAATAAACATTTGTGTTGTCTATACAGGAATAGTTGGCAATTGGAACCTCTATATTTTAAAAGAATTCAATCTGTACTTTCATGATGTTTGCTGTGCTTAGTGTTGTTTCAACTAATTTAATAATTGGTAGAATACCAATAAAATGCTAAAATGATCTTCCCATTATGTTGAAATAATCTTTAAGTTGCTAATTGTCTAGTCGAGCTGATATCTTGAGCTTTGCCACTTAAAAATGCCCACTGCCTAATGATGCCAACAAAGTGAGATTCAGATACTCGTTCGTTATTAGGATATAATTTTGGATAACAGTGTTGGAAATAACAACCTATCAATATTCACCTTCTTTTGTGAAAAAAAATTTTTTGATCTCCCAAATTCTATTCTTGCCGATAAATTTGATCTGCAAGAATTGCAGAGCAAACTTAATAATAAAAAATTGAAATAGCTTTAAAAATAGAAACTCAAAGTTATTAAGTTAGCAACTAAGTGTTTTCAATTATTAGAATTAATATAGTTTTGAAGCCATAACAGTGTTTAGTTTACAGTATAAAAAAAGTCTGAAAATATTATTGAATAAGCAAAAATGAATAATCATAAAAAAAAAAAATATTTATAATTGGTGAAATAAAAATTATTTGAGGTTGTAATTTTAATTTCTGACTTTGAAGTCAGAAAAAAAAATTATTAAGTTTTTATGAATGAATTGAAATTTTTTAAATAAAATGAATTTGAAATTATAACTAGAAATGTTAAAATTTCTTTAAAAGACCAAGTTACAAAAAAAGCAATCATAAGAATTTAAGCAAAATTATTTACTTTCTCTTAAATTGTTTAATCATCTCAAAAGTTTTAGATCATTAAACATCAAAAATGTTTTGGTTTTAAATAATAATTGATTAAATAGAAAGAATAAAATAAATTATAGTTAAAAAATGGAAGCAGGCAAAATATAACAGACAGTTTAAGAAAAAAGTATCTGAATCACCTCCAAAGAAAAAAGTAATACTTTAGAAAGATTATCTTTTTATAATTTTTTCATTTTATTTTGAGTCATCCAAAACAAATAATAGTTTTTTAACAAAAATGATATTTCCATCTAATATCTTTTTTTAATTGCATCTTTCTTTTGTAAAGTAAAGATCAGCCGGGAAATATGTAAAGATTTTAATAATAAGTCTGTATCTAAAGCATCAGCAAAAAAAAAAAAAAATGTTTTACTTTCTTCTTAGCTTTTAGTTAAATGTAAAAACTTTATTTTTTCTTAGAGGGTTGTTAAAAAGTTATCATTTGCTTTAAGCATTTCAAAATAATATGCCAATAAATGGTTGTTCACAGAAATGAAAAAATTTGTTGAGAGTTGAAAGCAAAATAAAAAATTAATATTGCATTTTAATAAAAAATTATTTTTAACTTTTTTTTTGCTTTTTTTTTGTGTGTGTGGATTATCAGGTTTTATAAAAGTTTGACTCTATAGTATATTATGCAAACTCTAAAAACAGCTGACAGATTGTTTTTTGTTTTTTTTTGTTTTGAGCATCTTAGCTTCCAACAAGGCTGCAAGCAACCATTATTAAAGTTGGTATTTACTTGAAGAGAAAAAATGAAGTTTATAGAGCAAGATAACGATTGACAGATGACTTATAAAATTGCAAATTACATGAATTAGAAAAGCAAGATAAAGGAAACGAGTGCCGTAGCAGAAGTAAGATCCTTTTTAAGCTTAAATACCCCCTCCAAGCAATCAGAGAGTGAAGGCTTCTTATCAAGATAAGAATGAATGGTAGTATCATCAGCGAACAATGCCACCTTTGATGTGAGAGTTTTTGAAAGATCGTTAATGTAAATAATAAAGAGTATAGTGCCAAGGATATAACTTTGAGGAACCATTGTGAAGTTATAAGATATGAAGAACAGTGCTGTCCATCGAGAATACTTTGATTGGTAAGGAAAGGTTCAATAATCTTAAAGATGTTACCTGATACACTGTAAGAAGAAAGCTTATGGAGAAGACCAGAATGCCAAACTTTTATGGAGAAGACCAACATCAAAGCTTTAGAAATGTCAATAGCAATAATCTTAACTTTTCCACATCTATCTAATGCACAATAAAACCTATCGGTTATTACTGTTAGCAAATTAGCTATAAAATGAGAAGATTGAAATCCATATTGATGATCGGAAAGTAAGTTATTAGATTCAAGATTCAAGATTGTTTGTTAATTAAAGACTCAAATACCTTGGTTATGATAGGAAGAAGACTAAGGGACAGTAGTTAGATGAGTCAGGTTGTTAAGGCCCAAAAAGTTTTGGGCCTTAACACCTGGAGAGTCTCTGACACTAGAGCCAAGCCATTCAGTGTGATGAGCATTAAAGTTACCAACCACAACAACAATATTGGTTGATGGATAATGAGAGAGGGGTTGGTCAATTTAATCAGAATTAAGATTAAAAAGAGTGCAGTCTTAAGATAAAGGAGAGTGCTATAGAGCAAAAAGAAAGGCAGTGAAATAAAGTAAAGTGGTGCTAAACAACAGCACATAAAAGAATAGTCTGTGGATTCAAACTTAGTTTCCCTACATGAATGATAGTTTTCCTACATGAATGATATTCAGAGGATTTAAAATAGTTAAAGAAAAAAAAAAAAGTTGACTTCAAAATCGGAAATGCACAAAAGCACTTTAGTTAGTATTTTAAAAATGTTGTTCTCAACACTTTAAAATAAATTCTCAATTTGGAGTAAGTATGGAAATTTAAAAGTTTAGAAGTGATGACTTAAAATTTTAATAAACTTTTTTTTTGTTGGTATTTTAAAGAAAAAATAGCAAGAATTTTTTGCACTGAATTAAAATTAATATATTTTTTTTATCTCATGATTTACTCAGTTTTATTTTTTAGACTATTTAATGTATATTAAGTAATCTAAAAATTTACTTTTTCAATATATCAAAGTATATATTATTTAAAATATGGTTTATATAAAATTCATAAATTCATTTTACAGTATTTTTAAATTAAAGTCTTCTGTAATTTGATACACATTTTTAATGTTTTATTTTTATTAATGTAATTAACTTTTGTAAGTTATATTTGTTTTCAAAAACAATTAAAAACAAAATATAAACTTTGATCAAAAAAGTTACAGTCTGAAATTATCAAGTCAAAAGGTTAACACTAAATTGACTTATTGTTATGTGATGCCAAGCGGGTAATACTGTGATGGTGATGTCTGTATTATTTTAAAGGTGTTGTAGTTATTATTTTGAGGGTCTTGCGATTATTACTTTGAGGGTGTTGTGGTTATTATTTTGTGGGTTTTGTGGTGTTATTTTAAGGGTGTTGTGGTTATTGTTTTGAGGTTATTGTGTGTAATAGAGTTAATGGTTAGCGTCATTTATTAAGTTATAAATCCATAATGCATTGCTCTAAAAAATCTCTTATTATTTTAAACAGATGGGTCTGCTTTGTGAAGGAACACGTCGAACTGATGAGAAGTTAAAAGCAAGCCAGGAATTTTCATTAAATAATGGAATAGTACCTTTAAAGCATCATTTGTTACCAAGAACTAAAGGTTTTTCTCTTATAGTAGAAGGACTGCATGATAAAGGTATTTTTTATATGACTCATACAACCTACTAATCTAACTAAAATAACCTACAACATATCAAGTCTTCTGTCAACCATTTCCTTGCTCTATAACAATATTCTTTTCTTCTAGTAACTCTCAAGTTAATAGGGGTTGCTTGCAGCCTTGTTGGAAGTGAATCAAAACTAAAATTTATTTATATATAAGCAGATAAATTTATTTATAGACAAATATCTTGTTTAAATTTTATTTTAGCTTAAAAGTCAAATCATGCAATGACCTAGTCAATTATAACATTTTGTCTAAAAGATGCATTATAACCTTTGTCTAGACCTTTTTTGTTTATCTTTGAAAGATGTGCCCAACCTGTTTTATTTTTATTCAAATGAAAACAGTTTCTATGTTTCATTGTGCTGAACAAGTTTTTGTTGCAGAGTGCTGAACGAGTCTTTAAAAGTTCAATTTAATATAGGATGTTTGCAAAGACTTGTTTTTTCTTTTTATTTATTTATTTTTATAATTCTATATTTCTATAAATAAATAATTTGTTTATATATTTAGATTATTAAATCATAATATTTTATTAACATCATTTATTTATAGCTTTTTTTATTTGTTAATTTATATATTTATAATATCAATAATAATTATTTTGTTATTGCTATCGATGTTGAAAGTTTAACCTATAATTGGTTTACTTGCATATAAATCAGTTACAAACAAAATTTACAAAAGTAACAAAAGTTTTGAATTGTTGTAATAGGTTTGATTTTTATATAATATATTTTTTATATTTATTATTTTTACATTACTTATATATAATATATTACTTATGTTTTTTTATTCAAGAGTATTTGTTTTATAATAATAGGAAAGAGTTTTTCTAAAGTCCAAATAATGTGCTAAATGTTATAAATGGAGACAAAGGGTAAAAGGGGTTTTTAAAAATTTTTTTTGCCTTCTACATTTTAAATGCACATTAAATTTTGTGTTTTTTTTTATTCAAGAATGTTTGCTCTATGAAAATAGAAAAGAGCATTTATAAAATTGGGAAGAAATAATAAGGGTTACAAATAATTTAAAGGGTAAAATTAAGGATGTTCATTCCCTTTTAAGCACTTTTATTTTTGTAGACAAATTTGCATTAAATTCTGAAGTTCAAATAACAGTCATTAAATTAAAAGTTAAAACTACAGTTTTGCAGTTTTTTTTTAACAGTAATTAGAAATAAAAAATGTAAATGATTAACATTTATCAATTAATTTAATAATTTAAATACAAATTCAGAGCCTTTCTTTTCTTCTAATGAAAGATGTTTTGGAAAAATTGTTAATCACATTCTCATCAAACCTTAGACGACATTCTTCGGTTTACATGTGATATAGACATTTATGGTAACTGTTATAAGCATTCCTATAAAAACATACATATTTGAGTACTCTGACAATGAAGTCAGAAAACATGTTTGTTGACCAAATGGTCAGTTTATCTGAAAAAAGTCTGCATCAAATAACTCTTTTCAGAACACATTGAAACCAATGCTAAAAAATGCCTCCTAACAAACTATTGAAAAAACTAACATTAGTTTTAAAAAAAAGAAAACCATATAGTTTTTATAAATGTAAGCTAAACCAATTAAATCCAAAAATCTAATTTTTCTGTTTAGTTTAATATAGAAATGTTTAGTTTAATATAGAAATAAATACAAAATATTTAAAATGTTTTGAATAAAATCGTTTATAATACATTTTATATTATATATTATTTGTTTTGTGTAAATATTGTTTATAATAGTTAGTAATATTGTTAAATTTGCGATAGTGTATTATAAAGGTAGACTAAATAATATATTTTTTAAAATTTGAATTATATTTAGTGCCTGCAATATATGACTTTGAATTAGGATTCCCTAATCCTAAGTCAGCAACTTTGATGAATATTTTTAAAAGAGGAAGAATAGAAGTGTTACTTCATTTTAGGTTATTTTTTTTTTTACCAATTTTTGCATAAGTTTTTTGTATAAAATCGCTTTAATGATTTTTTCTCTTGAAATTTATCTGTTGTTATTCAATATTTATCTATTGTTACTCAATATTTATATGTTGTTACTCAATATTTATTTAATGTTATTCAATATTTATCTATTGTTACTCAATATTTATCTGTTGTTACTCAATATTTATATAATGTTACTCAATAATTGTCTGTTGTTACTCAATATTTATCTGTTGTTACTCGATATTTATCTGTTGTTACTCAATATTCATCTGTTGTTACTCAATATTTATCTGTTGTTACTCAATATTTATCTGTTGTTACTCAATATTTATTTGTTGTTACTCAATATTTATCTGTTGTTGCTCAATATTTATTTGTTGTTACTCAATATTTATCTTTTGTTACTCAATATTTTTCTGTTGTTACCCAATATTTATTTGTTGTTACTTAATATTTATCTATTGTTACTCAATATTTAGAAGAATTCCAATGTGCAATCTACCAAAAAGTCAAGATGAACTTTCAAAATATATTATTCAGCATTATAGAGAAAAGGTAACTTTGTATTTGTATATTGGGAATATTTTTGCTTACATTGAAAATGAATAGAAGTACTAACTTTTTTTTTTCTTTTCAATTTTATACAATTGTTTATTATTATTTAGAGTAATAATAAAAGACCCTTTTTATTTTGATACTGAAAATGCATAATTCATTTTTATGATAAAAATAAATTACGCATTTTCATTTTTATGATAAAAATGAATTACGGATATTGAACTTTTCTAAAGTTCTATAAGTGTTTATGAAGAAATAAGTATTCTATAAGTATTTATGAAGAAATAAGTATTCTATAAGTGTTTATGAAGAAATAAGTATTCTATAAGTGTTTATGAAGAAATATAAGTGTTCTTCTATAAGTGTATATAAGTGTAATATAACTTCTATAAGTGTTTATGAAGAAATAAGTTCTATAAGTGTTTATGAAGAAAAAACAAGTCTTGCCATTCCACATTAAATAGTGTTCAAGGTTTAAAAAAATAAAATCAAGAAAAAATTGGTATAACAATATATGCGTTGATAATCTATAAGGAAAAATCGTTTTTACTGCCAAATTTTTGTTTTTTTTTTAATTACTATTTTCTATACTTCGTCAGCACATATCCCATGTCATACAGTTTTAATCTTGATTTTTTAAACAAAGATCTTGAATACTATTTATTGTAGACTGACAAGACTTGTTTTTTCTTCATAAACATCAATAGAACTTAAGAAAAGTTCAATATCCGTCAAAAATATCCGGTACACCTCTAGTCAAAAGATAACATTCAAAAATATTTAACAACACAATGTCTTCTTTATTATTTGGTAATGAGATTGCGTCTCGAAGGTAGTAGTCTTTTATTTAGAAATTAAACTTTGAAATAATTGTTTTTTTAACAGTTTTTTCATGATTTATCTTTTAAAAGTTTTATTATAGCATTTTTTTATGTCTGATAACAATCTATTCTGTTCAGATTTAAATGCAACGAAAAAATATTAGGTTACAGTTATTTATGTTTTATATGGAATGATTTCAATATTTTTAATTCCGATGCAAAATGTTCAAGTTATCCGAAAAAATTGCTGAAAAAGAATGAATAAATGGTTCAACTCAGCAAAATTCGAGTTATTCAAGGTTCAAATAAGCGAAGAATTTTAGTTTTATTGAAGACCTAGAATATAGAATTTTGAAAATAGTGTAAATTTATGGTGATGTCTTTATGTTCATTTAGGTTTCAAACAAAAAAAAAATGTTTAGAAATAAATGTTTTGTTCCTTTAGTTTTTTTTGACTGGTTTAGGTTTATTAATTCTTTTGAACATTATTTAACATTGTATAGAAGCCATAGTTTAAAATTTTTTAATGAATAATAATTTAATTTGACTAATCTAGTAAAGCAACAAATTATTTAAAGCTATCCCACATTTCTCTAGTTAAATTTTTTAAATTTAGTTTAAGTTAATTCCTATCATTCCTTAAATTTAGAACTAACTTTATTAGTTGATATATTGACAGAAGTTCACTTAATAGAAGAGCAATGACATTTTAAACTGTATAAGTGGGGCCATACAATAATATATTATAAACAATATTACATGCTTTTGGTGATGATTTCTGAAGAAATTTATAAACTTTAATCAAATTTACAGAAAATTTGGTGTCACATGCTCTAAACTAAATTTGAGTAACAGACTTAATACACATCTTTAATAACTTCTTTCATTTTGTTTTTATTTTGTTCAAACTGTCATTTGTATAGATCTGTTTAAAGTAGACAATTAAGTTTTCTTAAACTGTTATTTTTAGGTTTTTTATATTAAAGTAATTACTATGATAGAATGCAGTATTATTATATTTACATCTTGGTCATAAAGCTTCTTGATGTGTTTTATTGCTTGAATGGCTAATTGTGCACAATATTCAGAATATTAAATATGAGATTTTCTCATTATATAAGAGCAATAATTGGATCACTTCTGACATTCCTTTAATCATCTTGTATCAATGTAATTGGATCACTTCTGACATTCCTTTAACCATCTTTTATCAATATAATTGGATCACTTCTGAGATTCCTTTAATCATCTTGTATCAATGTAATTGGATCACTTCTGACATTCCTTTAATCATCTTGTATCAATGTAATTGGATCACTTCTGAAATTCCTTCCATCACCTTGTATCAATGTAATTGGATCACTTCTGACATTCCTTCATCTTGTATCAATATAATAGTACTCCTGTTGTTTGCAAAGTCACTTTTCATAAAATAATTAGATAAAATAATTTCATCGTTAACTTTATCTAACTCTGCTGAAATTTCTTTCTGTTAGGAGGATCATGACCAGGTCTTAAAAAAAATTTTAAATTCTTTATTTTTAACAGCATTATATGGAATGTTAATATGAATAAAATTGCCATACCATATTTAAAAATAATACAATAAAATGTTTACTATATTGACAATCCAAGTAAACATTTGATTTTTAAAAAAATGAAAGAAATCTTTTTTGGAGGGGCTTTTATTCATTTTCAACAAATAATAAGTTCATTTAAATGGTAATTTATATATAGTTAAAATTTATAATAAAAAATTAATTTATATATAATTAAAAATAAAGAACTTGGAAACAAAAAAGGCTCCATAATGAAAATATAAAGTATTAAATGTAAAGCTATCATGCTTCTTATTTAAAATAAACTGAAAATGTATACATTTTTCTTTATATATTTTTATCGTTTCTTTTCAACTTTATGTTTATATTTTTAGGATGTGTTATATGAGACATTTTTGCAAACAGGAAAGTTTCCTGGTACCTTGGTTCCACTTCCTAGAAAAATTAACAATTTAGTTTTGTTTACAGCTGTTAACGTTCTAGTAGGCCTTATTATTATTTCTTGGATAAGTTATTGTGTCATTGTATTTGGATTTGGATTTGTTGGTTTAGCAATCCTTGTAACTTGTTTTGTTGGTAAGCTGTTTTTTTAATTTTAAGTATTAAAAACACTGAGAAACTTAATTTAACAGTTTATTAATTTTTGCGTGTTATAAAAGTGGTTTTATTTAAAAAAAAAAAAACAGTATTTTTTTGTTTTAATACTGGATTGTAATCTAAAATTAAGACGAAATTGAGAATCAGTTTGAGAAAATTCTCAATTTTGATCAAATGATCAATGGAGTTATGCACATCATTCCACAATAAATGTGTTTGTGTGTGTGTCTGTGTGTATACAGCGTGCGAAGTTAACCTCGACATTCGGCATATGTCGAAGGCTTTTTAGTGTTTTGATAGCTTTTAGAAAGGAGAATTTTTCTAATAAAATTAACTATAAAAGAAATCATTTCTAAAACCAAATAAAATATTGTGTAATAAAAACCATTTTTCATTCAATTTCATTCATGAAATTTTTAAGAAAACATTTTATTAAAAAGGCAAAACTTTAATTCAATTTTAAAATGTTGCCGAGGTATTGCCGAGGTAAATGGTGCTTTTTTGATTGCCGTGGTCAAAAAAGTTGAGTTTTGCATGTTTAAACTCTGCAAAATTTCTGTTTTATATTGCATTATTCTTTAATAAATAATACTCTTCATTGTTCAGAAATGCCTTCATATTGTGCTGCAATTAACTGCACAAGTACGAGTGGAATTACTAATTAATATTATCAAGTTATAAAGTTACTTCAATGATTAACTCACTACTCAAATATGGAAGTTATATATTGTTCTTATTTCTACAGGTGCAAAAGGAGATCTTCATGGAAAACCTATTGAAATGCTAAACAATGATTATTGTTTGTGAATCAATCATTTTAAAAGTTCAATGTTTTATTTAGCAAACATTGGAGAAAAATGCCTTTTCCATAATTTCATCCCTCCAGTATGCAAGTTCTAAATATAGTCTCATGGCATCACATTCAGACGCTGTTTGAAATCTCATTAAATGATTAAATGTTACAATAACTAGTATACTGAAAGTCACTTTAAGCAAGGTTATTAAGAAAGTTTGATTGGAACTATTCAGAGCAAAGAAGTTTGAAATGACAGACTTTTTCAATTTTGAATTACCAGAATGCTTTATTGTTGTTGTCATTAGAAACTAGCAGGTCTAAAAACAATTATCTTATAGTAATAAATTTTAGCGTTGTGCTGCATGTAAATGGTTTGTTTAAACATTTACCCAAAAAAAGATTGTTTATTTTTTGCTAAAAAAACAACAACTCATTTTTAACAAGTTTACTGTTACAATTCTTATAAAGAAAACTATTTAAAAAACAGTTGTATTGTATGTATGTTTAAACTTGAATTGATAATGATAAATATATCATGTCTTAAGAAAGCTTATCGAGTCATAATAGTAAGCCAATTTGATGATTTTCAAATAAAATTTGAAGGAATAATTTTCTATGTAATATTGCTGCTCTTTTGAACAATGTTATATATAGGGTTGCCAGACGTCCAGCTTTTACGGAGGAGAATACAGCGCCAAACCTGTTAAACTAAATTTTTTTACTGCGTTCTCCTTCGTAAAAGCCAGACATCTGGTAACCTTAGTTATATAAGAAACCTATAACTTTAATGAGGAGTTTTTTAAAATATTGACAAAATAGTATTAAAAAATATATATTAATTCTTTAAATAGTTTACAAAGTAGATTAAAAGCAATTAATTACTGACAGCATTTGGTTTTTTAAAACAACATAATATTTATTTATTTTTAAATGTTATTTTACACGGGGTGCTCTTTGTCTTACACTTTTGATTGGTTAACATATTTCGAATGAGGTATCTATGACAGAGTTAAAGTTTATTGAAGACTATTGTTGATTTAAAAAAAATTGAACGAGGTATACTGTCTTGGGTTTATTTATTCAAAAAGTACCTATTTGGTTTTATGTCTTAAAAATAAATTTATTAGTATTTTTTGTGTTTCTATTAGAATTTTAATGTATTGTTTTTTCATGTTTTCTTTCGGTGGTATGTCAAAGGCCTGTCGACTCACGTAGTCGACAGTCGAGAGGCCTTTACAATAACGCTTGTAATCAAATAATAACAACGCTTGTAATTAAAATAAAAACTTTTTCTATTTTCAGCAAAACGGTCTAAAAAAATTTTTTTGAAAAAGTTTGTCCCACATTCCCGAAATAAGAATAACTTAGAAATTTTTATATTTTATTATAGTATATTTTATAATAGTTGTTTTTTACTAGTTGTGCCAAATGTATATTTCTTTTATTCGTTATAATATACTTTTAGTATATGCATTTATGCGGTTTGTTACAATTGTTTCAAAGTCTGATCGTGGAAGCAAGTTCGGACTTGAGAAAAAATGAAGTTTATTTTAATTATGGCGAAAGTATAAATTTTTATATTTGTTTCATGAGTTTAATTTTTTTTTTGGTCAAAAGTGTTTTTTTTAATCTTTATTAATTTTGGTTTTACTCGTTTTTGATATTATTTTTATAGGTTTATTTAACTCTATTTTTTTAATTGAGAATCATTAGTTATCCATGATGTAAGAATATTTAAAAAATTTTTTTATCTTATCGTAAAAAAAAAAAAAGTCGATTTTTAGTGAAACTACTTGATAATTTATTGCATTTGGGTAGACAATTCATATTTAACTTTAATATTTAAGATCAATATATGTCAATACATGTTAAATTTAGTATTACTATTACATACAATATATGTCAATACATGTTAAATTTAGTATTACTATTACATACAATATTACAAGTTTTATCTGAGTATTTTATTTAGACTACGCAATTAAACACCATCATTAAATGAAATAAAAGCTGAGTTTAATGAGTTCTAAAGATTTTTTACTAACATATATATCTAAAGGCATATTTTCGAAATATCAGTTGTCAAGCTTTCATTCTTTCATTACTGTTTTTTTGTTTGACACTCTTCAATATTTGAAGCTTTCCAATATTTTACCACTAATTTTTTTTGAGAAAAATAACATCAAAAAACAATTGCTCCAAAAACAGTCTGCTCTATTATTGTTGAAAAGCCAGTAGGCAACACAAAACATAGCATTATATCGAGGGGAATAAATTTACCAGTGACAACTATTAAAGGTATCACAGAGTCTAGGCTGGCACCCGTATTGTAGTAAGTCTCTAATAACTACAGGTGGTGCTCTAATCACACCTGCAGTTATTCAACGTGACGATAGTGACTCAGTCACTTTCCTGTGACTGGGTCACTATAATCACGTTGTGGTGGTACATTAGCTTGATCTGTGACTGAGTCACTATCAACAGCATCATGTACGATGAAATCTTTTGTGTTTCTATAGGTTTTAAATACATTGAAACATTGCCATAGTTTTTTAGAAATTTTTTCCAACATTCGGTGTCTTTTAGTTTTTTATATTCGTTTCCAGACAATTTCTTTTTTTTTTAAATTTGACATGTTTCACCATCCCCAATGTATGGAGTTTATTTAAAGTTATTTTTCAATAACCACTGCTCCCATAAAACTCAATTTCTCCAGTTTTTATCATTGGCAGCTCTTACATTTTACTTTTAATGAAATTATTTAGTGGCTTAAAAAAGTTTATTTTTTCAATAAAAAACAACCTCTGCATTTTTCGAAAAGAACAATAGCATCTAAGCATTCTCTTTTGAAATAACATTAACAAAAGAAAATGCTATTTCATAGTTTATGTCTACCTTTTAGCCAAGTACCATCAACAGATATCTGACTATTTTGCGGTTTACTTAAAATAAAACTAGCTTTTCTTTTTCTTATGACTTATATTTACTTTTCTGGTCTGCAGAATGCAGCTCTGGTAGTGCTTTAAAGAGCAACGTTTTTACAGGGTTTATGCGAAATATAAAACATTTTTTAAGAAAATATAAAACATTTTTTAAGAAAATATAAAACATTTTTTAAGAAAATATAAAACAAATTTTATGCTAATATAAAACATTTAATTAGTTAATTAAATGTTTGATATTTTAACATAAAATATTCAATTACGTAATTACTCTATACTATGGAATTTATGTGGTTTATTCACAACAAAGAAGAGATCTGTAAAAATATATTATTCAAGCTTTATTTTGTTGTTTTAATCGATAAATGGAAAACAAGAGACAAAGAAAAAAAAGAGCATTTATTACAAAGGATATTGTAAAAACAATAAGAAAGTCAATTCTTAAAGAAATGAAGTTAAAAGAAATTGCGGAAGAAGTTGAAATATCAGTTTCTGCAACATGTTCTATTTCTGATAAAATCTGTAAAGGACTTAGTGATAATGAAATCGCATCAGTAAAAAAGGAAGACGCAGCTCTTATGACGAGACACTTAAATCTGAAATTAGAATGTTAATTGAACATGATCCATCTCATACGTTAGCATCATTGAGAAACATTCTCGTTGAAAGGAATATTAATGCATCTATACCAACAATATCTAAATATTTGAAGTCGATGGAGTTCACTAGAAAACGACTTATATTAGTACCAAAAGAAAGGAACTCGCCGCAAAACATTGATTTAAGACAAAGTTTTTGCAGGACTATTAATTCGATTCCTGACAATAACTTAGTGTTTCTAGATGAAACAGGCTTTAATTTACATACTTCTAAGCAGTATGGCTATTCTATAAAGAATACAAAATGTTTTGTTACAGTGCCAGCAAATCGTGGAAAGAATGTCTCATGGACGCTATAACAGTTAATGGTATTTTAAGCTTTAAGATAGTGGATGGTGCCTATAATGGCAACCTTTTTTGCGATTTTATAACCAACAATTTAAGACCGTATTTCCAAACGAATCCCCATTCTGTACTAGTATTGGATAATTGTGCATTTCACCGTAGAAGAAATGTAATCAATTTGCTCAGCCAATCCACTGTTTCAGTTTACTTTTCCCCACCTTATTCACCACAATTGAACCCGATTGAGGAATACTTTAGTTGTCTCAAAGCTAATTATACTTCTATAAGGCCGTTTCCAAAAACTAGCAATGAAGTTAAGGCTATTTTAAATTCGCTTATACCAACAATTGGCGTTGATTTTTGTGGTTGGTATTATAATATGAGAAGATGGGTTTTGAAAGGCATAGCAAGACAAGAATTTTACTAAAGTGGATACTTTGCTTTTTATATTATATCATTAAGTATAATGAGTTATAATTATATAAAAAATACTCTTTATTCTTAAGAAATTTATGAATAACTTTATGTATCATAATTGCACTATTGATTCAACTACAATGTTTTATATTTTCTTAAAGAAAATATAAAGCATTTTAGTTTATTTAAAAGTTTATTTTATTTTATGTTTCATATATATTTTTGAAATGTTTTATAATTTTTTAAAACTTATTTTATATATTCTTAAAACATGTTTTATATTTTCTTAAAAAATGTTTTATATTTTCTTAAAAAATGTTTTATAATTTCTTAAAAAATGTTTTATATTTTCTTAAAAAATGTTTTATATTTTCTTAAAAAATGCTTTATATTTTCTTAAAAAATGTTTTATATTTCGCATAAACCCTGTAATGCTTCATGCATTTTATAGTCAATTAAGTTTAAATAAATTTAATTTAATTTTATAGTGAATTAAGTTTTTTTTAAGTCATAGGAGGTTGTATATTTATAAATTCATTTTTATTAATGCAACTGGTATACTTCCAAAGTTTGGCATAATAGTTTCTAAACCGGGATGCACTTGTACCTCCAAGTTCTTTAAAACTTAAAATGATATTCAAATTTACTGTAGCATTACATTTACAGCAGGTTTTCTTAGAAAGATCAATATAACTTTTAAAAAAACTCTAAAAATTTTACATCAATGTAGGTTAATATACATCTTGAAAAGTTTATATTGTTGCTTTACTTTATATATGCAACATGACGATAAGGACTTCAATGTAAGTGCTCTAAATATATTTTAGAATGTTTGCAAGAATTAAAAATCACTTTTTAAAAATCTTAAAAAAATAACAATAAATAGGTTAAACATATTTTAGATTTTAGACTTGAAGAAAACAATGAAGATATAGTTATATAGCAATAATGATATTGATATTAATGATGATTTTTCAGAATATGAGACTGAAAACAATGCAACATCAAAAAAATACTATCAAGAAATTTATTATGTATTAATCTATTAATAACTATCTATTCAAGAAATAATTCAAGACTGTGAAAATAATTCAAAGAAGGATTTACTAAGTGTTAGTCTTAAGATAAGAGTGAAAATAAGCGAGGTCGCAGAGGCGTAAGCAGGGGCAGCAAATGCTCACCCTGCAAAAAAATTCGGAGCTGGTGACGCCTTTTTGAAATTTAGCGACAGTGCTTATTTTATTTAACATTATTTTATTACAGTTTAATTTCATCACATAATAAATTGTGAAAAGGCGCCAACGTAGCCACAATGTCCTCGTAAAATGCGCAGATACATGTTTCCCATTTTAGTAGGTGCTTAAAGTTGTCAAATAACAAGTCTAAGTTTTTTCTATCAATTTTTCGTGTAATCAATGACGAATTTGAAAACATATTGTAGTTTTCAAAATCTTAACAAAGTTAACCATTAGTTTAAAACTATAATTGCGCAATGCTTAAAAAAAATTTTTACGCTTATTTACTTTTTAAAATCTCTACAATGAATTTTATCAAGTTTAATTATAGCAAATGTACCTTCGATTATTGATTGTCAATATTAAATCTTAAACATGTCAAATAAAAAAAAAAGAAATTGTCTGGAAACGAATATAAAAAACTAAAAGACACCGAATGTTGGAAAAATTTCTAAAAAACTATGATAATGTTCAAATGTATTTAAAACCTATAGAAACACAAAAGATTCATCGTACGTGATGCTGTTGATAGTGACTAGTCACAGATCGAGCTAATGTACCATCACAATGTGATTATAGTGACTCAGTCACTGGAAAGTGACTAAGTCACTATCGTCACGTCGAATAACTGCAGGTGTGATTAGAGCATCACCTGTAGTTATTAGAGACTTACTACAATACGGGTCGTGCCAGACAAAACTCTGTGATACCTTTAATAGCTGTTCTGGTTGATTTATTCCCCTCAATTTAACGCTATGTGTTGTGTTGCCTACTGGCTTTTCAACAATAATAGAGCAGACTGTTCTTGGAGTGATTGTCGAAAAGGTTATTCAAAATTTACAAAAGGTGTCTCCAAAATTGAGAAGCACGAATCGTCAAAAAGTCATGAACAATCTGTGAGACAGTTAATTTTAACAAAGTTTCGCATTTCTAATGAAAAAACGGTTTTGTCAGAGCTTGTGGCTTGAGAGAGAAGACAAATAGAAAAAAACTGGAGGATTTCAAAGACTATCATAGATGAAGTATTGTTTTTAGGCAAACAAGGATTAACTTTTCGTGGACACAGAGAGTTTGGTGGTAGGGGTTCCTGTAATGAAGGTAATTTTCTCGAACTCATAAAGTGACCGCAATGCCTACCTCTGTCCAGACATCCACAATGGCCTTATACAGTCTTTGGCATCTGAAATTAAAGCAAAAATATGTTGAGAAGTGAAGAATGCAAAGTATTTTGCAGTTATTATAGATTTCACCATAGATATGTCTTTGCGATATGTTACAGCTGGTGGAAATTCAACTTAAAGGTTTGTTCAGTTCTTAGAGCTACCCACTGCAAATGCTAAAACCTTTTTTAATCTAAACTCTTCTTTAGATGGACTGGGTATCCCAGCAGAACTGTGCTATAGCCAGTCATATGAT